TAGAGATAGTTGTATGAGATAGCGCGCGAGAGCGTTCGTGATATGGAAACCCGTTGTTTTGGAGGTGAAGTTTATACGACAAGAAGCATAAAATAAACACAACATTACAATTCTCCGTAGAATTGAGTTATCGTGCAAATTTTTAAGTGTAAGGAATGATTACAGCCGTGCTATTGTAATACATTATTCTGTTTGTTAAGATATAAAGAAAATAATATTTGTATGTAATAAAGATACATTTAGAATCTGGAGTTTCTATGTCGTGTGCAACTTATGAAATGAGTCTTAACAATATTTTGGAGGCTTAAGCTGAAATAAAAAAAGACGGGTGTCATAAATTGCATACGAAATGGAACCAAATTTCAAGATTTTTTCACGTGAACAATTGATCTACGTGTAAATATCACAGAAAACACAGTTTCCGGGTCATTCTTGAAAAAATCGATGGTCTGTATTGTAACGTCACACATTATCTGCGAATGTGTGACGTCAGTTTATCTTTATGTTTTGATTCTTATTATTTACTGACGTCATAATAGGCCAAATTACACTAGTGTAAAACGTGGAAAAATCCACGAGTAAAGTATTTCAATTACAAGTGTATATATGATGCATCAAGTTACACAATGTTTAAACTTGTATAGCACATTATGTATACTATACTATTAATTTACGCAAGCGACGTGATACGGTAGAACACACAGATTAGCCGATAAAACATCACTACAGTGACGACGTGTGGAATATTCATAATAAGTTTATCTTTATTATTTTCTCATATAAACCATTTTTTTCTATTCTCATATATAACGATCTAAGGGGCGAAAAAGACAATAAACAAAAAAACAATAATCCTTATTGGTTCGTAATGTAAACCTTTTCATTATTTGAGAACCTGACATTACTTACTAGGATTGATCAATATTTAGATACATTTTGTCGTCAGAAAGCAGAATGTGCTTACTCTTCCGGAACACCTGGTCTTATTCTCCTTGCATTTTTTCAGTGGTATCTATTTAAATCTTTCTGCTGATAATAATCGGTTACCAAGTTTGAGTTTGAATTAAGATACTACTGAAGTGTGGGTGATGATTTCGGTTGTTTTTACGCCCAGTAGTCGTAAAAGCTGAAGTTTAAATGATTATGTTTAAATCAATAATACTACACATCACTTATAAAACCATTATATTTTACATTGTGGTTGTTATAGGAACGTAGTGTTTGAATTTAGAAAGCTAATGGAAGTACTGCTATAAGATAATTAGTGTATAACGTAGTTTAATCCGTCATTTGGCCCTACTTAGGATGTCTTAATCTGTATGTCTGTTGACAAGTGCAATTCACTTGACAATTTATTAATTTGTACACTGTTTGAGATTGCAGGTGGTAGACAATACTGGTGAACTTTTAGCACCGGAGGTTTTTTGTAACCAACAAGGCATGTTTTGATCTATAAACTCATATACAAGATGGAGTTGGCGTTCGTTTGAAACAATTCGATATTGAAAATCATTACATTTATTGAATTTTGCGGTTAGTGCACCTGCTCAGCTACTTTTTGGCATTTATTTCGGCAAATATGGATTTTTCTCGGCCAACTCCTAGGTTTTAATATTTAATCTCCTAGCATTATTGTCGAGTTCTAGAAGGACGAAACAGCTGTATGTCGCATTTTTATTCATTATTTGGTACATTGATATCTAATACTTTGTATTGAAATGTGCTAGTCGGTTTGTGTGTCTATTGCAGAAGCTTTCAAGCAATCACTATTCATAACAGGTTAATGTCAATTATCTATTGAAATATATCAAAAAAATACACGGACACTCCGCAGATATGCAAAGGAGTGTAAGATACATTGCAACGGTCGACAAAACTAACATAACAAGTAAACATCAGTCGAGTGAACAAAAGGCACATGGTTTTATAAAGGACTATACACATGCAGGCGTCCAAGTGAACAACACCAAGTGGATTTGATAATATATGTAGTACATGTATGAGTGGACTCGGAGATATGACCACCGTATAATGTAATAGGTTTTTATTTGATTCTGTGTAAAACGACAATGAGGCGTTTGTGTATGATACAGACGCTACAGGCAAGTCTGATAGAGGGCTTTACTGCGTCACTAGGAACCATTGTTTGGTGTTTTATAGTTTTTGAAAATATCGTAACTCATATTTAGTTTATTGCAATATCCCTACACTAGCTCATTCAATAAACATAATGTTTATACACGTTGTGTTGTTTACGATTTACAATTATCATTCTCACTAAAATTATTGTTTGTCTCGGTTTTATATCAAAGTAGAATCGATGCAAATTGAATAACAAGCTATATTTGAATATCTTTTGTTTTGCATTATTAAACAAGAGTATGAGTATAGAATGTAACAGTGATGGCGTTCTACCAAAAACGTCCCAGAACGAGACGCACTAGAAGGACTCCTGAACACCTATTTCAATTAATCACGTAGTAAAGATAAATACGATTTCTGACAACGCATGTGCATTCGTTGATTTTAATTTCGGTTACGTTTAGACAGAATAAGGTCCTAGTGCTCCAGACGTCAGGAGAGAGAGAGGAGGAGAGAGGGAGAAAGAGAGAAGGGAGGGAGAGAGGGAGGGAGCGAGAGAGAGAGAGAGAGGGAGTAGGAGGAAGAGAGAGAGGGGGAGAGAAGGAGAGAGAGAGGGGAGGAGAGGGAGAGAGAGAGAGAGAGGGAGAGAGAGAGAGAGGGAGGGAGGGAGAGAGAGAGAGAGAGAGAGAGAGAGAGAGAGAGAGAGAGAGAGAGAGAGAGAGAGAGAGAGAGAGAGTTTTAGGGTAAGAGAGAGGGGGGGGGAGAGAGAGAGTACTTGTACCTTTTTCTATAACCGATGTTTGGTAAATCTTAGGGGAAAAGTCACACAAGAAAACTAAGTTATAGACAATATTATAGTGCTTCAGCTAACTCTAGACTTTCGTAATGATGCAAAATATTATCTATTTTTATTGTTTTAATCAACTTGTAAACACACTAATATGATAGACTACTTTACATAGGTTGATAAGATAAACGTATGTATGATAAACTAATGTATATATGTATAGATGATACTTTTATATACATATGTATATATGACAAATATATGTATGTATGAATGACAAATTTATAAAATATATATTGAGATATGATAAATTTGTGTAGATAAGTTTATATGATAAACGTGTATACAGAGAGATTCAATGAAGGTCTACAATATCAACTACTAGTTTTTATTTTGATAATTATCCTTGCGCAACTTAACCAATATGTCTACCTCCATAGTCTGTAATGCATGTGCTCGTTTTGTCACAGAAAGCCAGCAAATCTCCTTATCGTGAAGATTATAATTCACAACACGTTTACCCTCTTCCTAATTCATGGTTTAGTGTGTTTCTATATTGCATTTCGTTTTTTTCTAACGGTTCCACTGATAATACACAATGTTTCATTATTTTCTCTTAGTATTGTTCTTTGTATCAGTCTCCGTTGGATGTAAGTTGTCTATCTCTGTTTTACCAAACCCAGTAGTAGTCATCAGACGTTAAAATATTCCTCTCAGGAATGAATTGTATGCCTACCAACTTTATTGATAATTATATTAGAGAGTTACATCCTGGCATCAGAAATAAGTAATTTAATCTGCTAGGCATTGATATGCTTGTTACATATACATGTAAACATAGTTAGATCTAGAAACACTGCAGAAACAGACTTCCGAACCTAGGTGTCGCGTAGAGATGTGAGGGCAGGTAAGCTGTCGATTCACAAATCGTGTACCCACTTATAAATAATGACTATATATTATGATGAACCGATGGCCCCAAACACTTATATCACAATTAATTTAACTTCTAAAGGCTGATCGAAGAAAAGTTAAACTCTGTATATACAATAGACAAAGAGAATTGATTGGTCTCAGTGATTGATGATTAGTTTCGTGTTACACAAACGGGCATGTTATCTACGTGTGTGTTTAGGTTGTTAAAGACGTAGAGATTGAATGTAAACACAATCGTTTACAATCTTATCATTGGCAGTCTGTGTACCCGGTCTGATTAAGTACGGTGACAACACAAGCACATGGTCGTAGGTCGCTCCCTTTGTCACGGTTTATTGTATAATTCGGACCAATTAATTACTCACTAGAACACGAACGTTTGCCACGAAATCAACACAATTAACACCTTTATGTAATAACGGTATTGAGATAGAGAGTAGTCGGCTAGTTACCGTGATATTTATGTAGATTGGTTTAATTCATTTTTCAATACCACATTATGCAGATACAATGATATACCAATGTTAAGTAAACATGTAAATGTACTTATGTGTCAAGGACGGAAGAAGAAACTCGCCGTGTAAATAACAACTTTATTATCATATTACTAGTGATTGAATTGTCTTGGAATGTATCATTGATTTTCTGTTTATAAACATGAAACATGAGATGGGCGTTCGTTATTAATATTGCTTGTGTTATTTTGGTCACGTGTTATATTTTTTAGCATTAATAGACAATATTATAATGTCTACATTTTAAGATCTTTAAAAATTCAACATGGTATATAGATATCTGCATAGTCTCTTAACCTTACAGTATAAATAATGTTGCTTATTGGTTTTATATCTCAGGTTACGATGGATATTGATAAACAATATGATTTTATCTTAATTAAATTGTTTGAAACACATCTCGCGGTAATATAGCTTTGAGAACGTAGCATTGCGACCCTTGACCCAGATTTCAATGACAGTGCTTGCGATGAGACAGTTTACCCTACATGAAAATTTGGTCTTAGTTCACATGTCCTCACAAAGGTCTCCATATATCTTATCTTTTTCATCATTTCATCGATGTTGAATTTGAATTATAATTTTGTTGAATTGGTGGTTACTCGATATTTTCTTATCACTTACAGAAATACATTAACACTTTAACATTGAGACTTCATGTATTTCCATCTGTTTTTCAGCTATCCATGTTGTGTCTCTGTTGGTGTCTGCCTGGGGAATTCCCATTATAACATGGACTCCAGTTGGAGAGGAGTACTTCCAGTCCCACGAAATAACGACACTCATCTCTACATTTGGAACATACCAGAATTTCACACAGTCGCTCGCAAGAGTTTTGTTACAATACTCTTGGAAAAATATAGGTAATAGGAAACATTAAGATATACTTTCTGATATTCAACCCATTACCATGATATGACTTTAAATTTCTGTACAGTATACGTATCTACCAAGGATACTGGAACTCTGATAGTACATTTTTCATATCCCTCACACGTGCTTTCTTGCAGGTTCATATTCTTGTATCGTACATAAGGATATGGAAAGAAAAATAGAAATTGAGAACAGTTTAATACAACAAATTGTTTTTGTAAGGTATAGGCAAAATGGATCACATTAAGAAAATGCTTGCTCTAAATGTACTTATGTCAGCATAATAACATTTTAGCGCTTCAAGAATTTTTGATGAAGTGGTGCAATGACGACATTAAGCAGCCGTAATAATTGTTAAATAAACGCAATGCAGAAACTACAATTTGCGCAATGATGTATTAAAATGCATTACTTTGTGAACGATAAGATAATATGACCGCAACATATCGCCGCTGACAGTATTTTATTTTTTTAGTTTTACTGTAAATACCGTATAATTTGAATGCACAAAAATAATGTTTCTCAACGTTAAATACTAGACAGTAAACATCTGAAATAGAAACGAGGTTTATACACTTCATGTGTTGAGATAAAGATTTTTATGCATTCCACAGTGGTGGTCCTCAGAAATGTCTGGGGGAGATGGAAGTTTCTCCCATATCCGGACATGTGCGATAAACTTTGCTCGCTCCGCTTATCTCAATAGACGGATTACAATACTTGTGGATACCGTAGCAAACTCGAGTATCTCAAATTGCTGTGAAATCAGAAATTGTCCGTATTCTTTAAACACGAAAAAAAATTTACTTCTTTTTAATTGGAATGCATCTATAGGATATGCGCAATTGATTTGTGTTTGTCTGCGTACCTATTATGCTAATATAACACAGTCATATGATTATGATATTACAACACTTCCCTGATATATTATTATCTTGGAATATTGAAATCAATATAGTTGTCTCTATACATATATGTATATATTGTTGAGGAGAGAATACATTTATCTTATAAAAGGATCAAAAGAGTTTGTCTTCTTATGTTTAAGTCGCTTGTGTTAGTTTCAAATGTTGGTTACGAGTAATGTATCGTTTTATATATTCTAACTTTTATTTCATTCAGTGAACTTTTTCGGTCTTGTCCATTAAAATTGATATAAGATTGAACTGATGCTCGTTAAGATGCTGATCGTTTCGTTGTATTTATTTTTATTTGAGAACGAAACATTAGTTGCCGGGGTTGAGCAAGACGAAGAAGCCGTTCATTCTTCCAGAGCACCTAGACTCATGACTTTTTCATTTGCTTTCTTGAGGATTTAAAAAAATCATTTTTGTTCATCTCTTTTCATCGTTTGGGTTTGGACTGTGACTAATTTATCTTGTCGGTATTATTTCCGTGTAGGCGTGATATACTTCGGAAATGAGATATGTGAGAAAATATCCCATTACATCTCCACCGGATTTCCGGACAATGACATCCTCATCCATCGGGTGGAAAAGTTAGACAATTTCACCCAACCGGAAGTGGATAAGGCCATCAGCAATGTCAAAGACCAAGTAGCCAGTAAGTCACGTGATTTTCCCTTCAATAAAGTTTTGGTGAAGCGAAACATTGTATGGTATGAACACCTGTATCTAAGCAGTGAGTAAACTTACATACATAGTTGCTGATTTTGAAGCAGCTGAGTATTGTTCTAAATATAGATATGCCAATATACATCACAGGAAAGATAAAACTGGTAAACAGATGTAACAAAGTTATCTAATGGAACAATTCATGAGCATGATAACCAAACCATTCTAGTGTCACACCCTAAAACTTTGTGGTGTATCGGTATATTAAATCCTCAATTATATTAATTACTAGAATCAATTGAGAAAGATACATGTACAACAATATGAGCAATGTAAACACACTTTCTGCTATCTTAATTTTGCTGTGATGATTCCTCAGCTCTCGATTTGTTTTCATATTGACTTTTGAAAAGATTTTACAAAAGACACGCAAATGACAACACTTTTCAAAACAAATTTAGAATGAGAAAATGAGAGTCAGCTAATAAGTTAAACTACATCATACAGCTGTCTCGTCCTTTAGCTAACGCCACGGATGCTATGTGCAAAAATTGTGGAACCCAAGGAGGTGTCTAAATAAAGGTCAAAACTCAGACAATGAGGTCACGGCTTCAAAGCTCAATATATATCATAATATTTAGTATCGAATAAGTTAAAACATTATATATATATTTGTGGGTTCTTCTTGACTTTTTTGTCTATAGTACACTCCTTGCTATTACAGTTATTATCTTGTGTTTACCGAGTGAGTATCTACTGGATGTCCTACTCGTGGCTCAGAAGAAGGGTATGGCTAGCGGGGATTACATGTTTATATACTGTAAGTTTAACCCTCTAATCAACCATCTGCCTGTAAATAACGGCACAAACAAGGAGCGTATGGAGCAGATCATGGAGTCAGTTCTCCACTTCGGTCCACAAACCATGATTAAACCGTCGGAAGTTAACAGATTCGGATCAACGTTAAATCATACGGTACGTATACAGCAGTATTTGTATGATTCCTATGAAGTGTCTGGTTGATTTTTTACTTCATTTTCAATACACTTGTACGCGAGTAAATGCTTATTAAGTTAGTAGGCATAGTGTCTGACAAAATACGGGGCCCTCGTGGATGTTTGTCAATATTCTAGTGTATCTGGGTGTGATTCATGTTTTCGAGATCGGTTTTCATATATTATGCATCTTGTTAATCTAGTTCATAAAACTACATTATTTCATGTAATTTATAGCATAAATCCAGTAATGATGCGTTGGAAATCAGTAATCCGATAAAGACATGAACAGCCAATTCTAATATATGACATATAAGATTATATATTACTCTGCCTTGTATGACTTGTTTTAATTCGCCCGATATTCCGTCTCAGATTGATGACTTTGTGCTGTATCTATATGACGCTACTGTGATGTTTGCTACGTATTACAATACCACTAGGCAGGCGAAGGCTAACGCGACTGGTCTAGATATTGTTAACGACATCAAAAGAATGTCCAGTTACGTTGGTGAGTTATGAAATACGTATGACCTGTTAAGATACATAAACATGTAGCAAATGGATTAAAGATAATAATCTATGTATTTTTATACAATACTAGTGATGTAATCAATTGCTAAAATGTGTAACAGAAAATAAAGACAGACAGTTATATATAACAAAAAGCCTTTGCATCATTTAACATGGCATAAAACGTTATGTCTTTCTGTTGTATAGCCATACATTGTCATGTTACTGAACGGCTTTTATACAGGAAAATCAGGATATTTTAAGATACTGAGTAAGGGCCAGGCAATGCGGGAGTTTGGGATATACCATTATCAAAATCAAAAGTACGAAACAGTGGCGTTGGTGAAAAATGGGATATTTACATCGTACATGAGTGTTTCATGGCCAAAAGGACACCAACCCAAGGACACGCTTCCAAAAATGTGTAGCTCGGACTCCAGCTGTGACAATACAGGTATATATTGAAATGTATATATGGTTATGTCGGCTTTCCTTATTATTTTTTTTTTCATTTTGTTTTTCTGCATATAAATATACGGGTAATATGGCATTGATGAACAATGTTTAAAACGGGAAACAAAGTCGACGAATACAGGTAAAGGTATGGGCGAAGAACAAATGAAACTAAATCTATATGACAGTGGGTATTGAACAAGTAGCCGAGAAATAGCTGACAGAGCCAAAGCTGTTAATAATTCAAGGTAAGTGCTGCATTGGAGAGAGAGCAAAAAAATGTGCAGAAAATATAATTGCAAAGGTTTCGAATTTTTTCAAACAAGAGACATCCGTCGAGACGTCAATTATTTGTCAGTTTGACGCTACATCGATTTCAAGACGCATGTGTAAGATCTATATATGGACTTGGGTAATGTATCTATACTTTGTTCTGTATTGTTTATTTCATTGTTTTAGTTTGTCTCGCCCTCTATTCGCTTTGATTCTGATTGGTTATTGTCTACTTTCGCAAACACATTTTGGAATGTCAGTCTGGCTTTCAACCTTTATGTGTATGTTTCTAAATATGTATGTATAATTTCAACCTTTTGGGATGTTTAATTTCCACATTGATATCAACATGGATATTTTATTGATCAGGACGTGTTTTTAGATAATCACAAGGTCCCAGTTCACTCTAAAGAAAGTTCCAGTCAGCCATCCATTAGATGCATTCCAGAATAATGAGGTTGTTGCCCTTTAATGAGCAGAATACTAATTAATATAATTTCAGTCTTACACCAAACTTTGTAGTAGCTATATATACGGTTATGGTATTATGATATGGGTTGAATAGGAGTCTTAACACCAACGAACCGGGTCAAAGTATAACCAAAAGAACGATTGAAAGGGAAATTGAGTATAAATTCACGCCTACCAATGGAAACATTAAGGTGACGCTAGGTCAAATCCTTATACAGTTGGTCAAGTTTTCAAAGTGAGAGCCGGGATAGCTACAACGTTCCCGCTAGGCCACCATTCACAAAACCGATGGATTGTTGACATTAGCAAAGTAATGATTATTCTACAACATGAGTGTATGGATTTGTTCTCATTTAAAACGATGCAATCAGGTACGCTGCTAATAAGGTTTGAATTGTCATTAATCTCAGTCTTTACACTGATTGTGTTTTCACGAGACACATAACCCCGTTACTGTGGCAACCCTTTTACCAGTTTCTTAGTTTAAGTCTATATAATGATGTACATAAGTCCGGGTCGTTAGTACCGGTAGTACCAGTACGCACAGGCCTGCAGGAAACCTCGTCGTAAAACGTAGCCAGGTTACACCTTATATAGAGACATCACTGTAAATACGCCCTAGCTTGGCATAAATCGAATCGGTGCAGTGTTCATAAAACACAATTCCAGGCTTGATTTTTTCCTGATAAAATCGAATTACTGGTAAAGGATGGAAATCCACGTCGATATTCAAGTCAGAGGTGATTTTTTCATCGACAATAGCGATTTGAATGTTTAAAATAATCTATTTTAGGATTTTGCAGAATGATGTTGAATTATTACGTTCCTGAATTCTAGGACAGTATTACAGGGCCCAGCCTATAAATGAACAGGGTAAAGTTATGATACATTATGATGCAAAGTCGTGAACACAGGGACTGTAGATACACATTGATATCCTGACCACCCATTTTCCTACACAAAAAGCAACTAAGTCATCCTTCAGTGGGATACCAATACAGTCTTAGAGATATTGGTCGATCATCTGGCAGAATAACTACCGTCCAAATTTGGAGATTATTTGCCGTCCGTAAGCATTACACCTTTCCATTTTAGTAGCAAATGACTATTACCAGCAGGGTGTATTCTCTCTAGTCTATGTAGGCATGAGAATAAATGCCAAGAGGATTCTAGTCCAATTCGGAAGATCAAATAAAGGACATTCGTCTCCAAGGACTTTACTTAAACTTCCGAACGACGTTTATGGTCGCCAAGGTGATCTCATTGAAATGTTTTATTTCTTTGTACGACATGAAGCTGGACGTATCGTATTTGATGCTCATTAGTTTGTCTGTTGGTTCCGTTGTTATACACCTTGTCCTCATTTGAGAGCGTAACATTACTTACTTGGATTGACTAAGGTTTACATGGCGGGTGTCGTCGATGAAGTGGAAGACGCTTATACACTTCCGGAACACCTGGTCTTATTATCCTTGTACTGTTTTAGGTGTCTCAATGTTCATTCTTTCTTTTCTTCCTATTTGCCCTAGTTTTATTTGAGTTTGAATTATGATAATGTCGCCATGTTGGTATTTTCTTGATGTTTTTGTCGAATCGGGAGGCAGACATGATCAACCATGATCTTTGCATAACCATCTGATATTTAGAGACTCATACCTAGACACAAATAAATTTAACATAATACAAATAGAAGACAGTATAATATCTGCTCCTGTTTGGTTATTAATATTTTTGTTAATTACTTTACATCTGCATGGAAGTCTAACATGTAGTATGTTGGTATTTCTGTTTGTATAACATGTAGTATGTTGGTATTTCTGTTTGTATAACATGTAGTATGATGGTATTCCTGTTTTATAACATGTAGTATGTTGGTATTTCTGTTTGTATAACATGTAGTATGTTGGTATTCCTGTTTGTATAACATATAGTATGTTGGTATTTCTGTTTGTATAACATGTAGTATGTTGGTATTTCTGTTTGTATAACATGTAGTATGTTGGTATTCCTGTTTATAACACGTAGTATGATGGTATTCCTGTTTAATAACATGTAGTATGTTGGTATTCCTGTTTGTATAACATGTAGTATGTTGGTATTCCTGTTTGTATAACATGTAGTATGTTGATATTCCTGTTTGTATAACATGTAGTATGTTGGTATTCATGTTTATAACACGTAGTATGATGGTATTCCTGTTTTATAACATGTAGTATGTTGGTATTCTTGTTTATAACACGTAGTATGTTGGTATTCCTGTTTGTATAACACGTAGTATGTTGGTATTCCTGTTTTATAACATGTAGTATGTTGGTATTCCAGTTTGTGATCAGTTACTCCCCAAGGTAAGGCACAGGGTCTTTTTATAACTAAGCATCTCCATGATAGGTCACGAAAGGTTAAATTCATTTCATTGGCCGATTCATTTGAGCTCAACTCACTCAATGGAATATACATTCAGGAATCATACGGGTTTCGTCAGCTCTCTATAATGTAGACCATTATATAATAGATACATGTTAATTGGTAATGAATGAATCGTGAGTATAAGGACAAACTCGTGGAGGTTATGACTCAATACCAAACATGCAAGGTAAGTGGCATGGGAACAAACGTTTTAGCATGTAAACTGTTGTCTAAATCTTTATGTGTGTGTAGTGAATTTCGTGGAAGTTCCTTAACAGCAGAGTATTCGAATAGCTTACGTCGATAACCAACAACATTCTTCTGGGCCCGTATTCATGAACCATTCTCATGCACAAGCATAGATTTTGTGCACTAGCAAACGTTTTTATTATTCACCTAAATCATAAAAAATAATACAAATGTCAAATATAAGCATGGAATATAACTTTGACTTGAAGTCCTTTAAATTTTGTAAAAATCTTTGGCAAAATCAGTCTTATTTATTCATTTTTAACTTAAACAAGACATAAGTCTTGGGCACAAAATTCATGCTTGAGCGTGAGAACGGTTTCATGAACAGGACCCTGGTGGTTTTCTGATTTCTCTTTCGTTTTCAGCAGTCTGTAAGGATGTGACATTTTCACGTTTGAAATGATTGCTTGTTGATGAGGAAGTAAATTAATGATCTTTTGTACATGAATATATACTACAGTAAATTCTCTTATAACTCTTCCTCTAATTTCTAATAGACATAACACCTTCCTAATCAAATAACAAATAAAATATTTACACAGAAACTACTGATTTTATCGTTATTATGTAACAAATTATATCATATATCCCATTTGAAACAATAGATTGTTTACTCTGTCTGTGTTTTGTTAGATAAATCGGTGAAGTACTGCATGTGATGTCCTAGTGATAAAGGTCCATGTCTTCCGTTTTATTTACAATGTATCATATCAATCATTTCAACTTGATATTTAGTTTATCATTCGTGGTTAAAATTTACAATTTCAGCCATTGTAAAAAAGATACACAAGTCAATTACACATTTTGATACAAATTTATAATAACATAAAGACGAGCCAAAAATAAACCAACGTGTTTCATACAGCTGTTTAGTCAATCATCGATATACACAATTTATATGTTTTTATTCACATGATTTTTAAGTTTCTGTCTCAAGGACTGCGCAATGCGATGGACACTATATATACGACACCAAAAGTATATATCTTGTATGTATTCTATGTATTTGATTCTTTGATGTCAATATTTATATCGTGTGATTATCACATGCAATCATTCTGGAAAATATTTAACAGTATAACAATATGTTGATGTTAAACTGTTTTTTGTTTATTTTTTTTCTCAGATAATACGGCTGCTATTGTCGCAGGTGTGTGTACAGGAACAGTTCTTATCATTGGAGCAATTCTTTTCCTTTTCGTCCTTTACAGGTGAATTAAAGTTTTAAACGTATTCAACCAGTTTTGGACGTATTCAATAAGTATTTGACGTATTCAATAAGTATTTGACGTATTCAATACGTTTTGGACGTATTCAACCAGTTTTGGACGTATTCAATCAGTTTAGGAGGTATTCAAACAGTTTTGGACGTACACAAAGGACACAACAATATTGCTGATTTTATGGAAACCCTAAAACTGATCACATTTGTTTTACTAACCCTTGCTGTCTGGCGAATTCAACCATAGTAAAAACCACATATCTTTATATTTAATAGTTTAACCAATTCGTTTTTACAATCAAACTCTACCAAAGAAGAATTGAACATTATGTGATACAACAGTCTTGCATGTGTCACCGTGCGTCATTTTTCTTGGAACTGATCAAAGCAGATTGCATTTATTTAAGTTTAACTAGTTTGTGTAAAATGTCTGTAAGTATCCTAGAAATACAAGCATGCTTCTACTATCAGAATGAATCTTGAAGATAGTGATAAAGTTACAAAAATATTGCTTAGACAACCATTGCAGTGAAATACAATTAATTTTTACAGACAAGCATTCTATACAGAAAATTACTTCCTATCTACATAAAAGAAATATCTTCAAAGAAACGCGGTAACCTTGAACATTTTAGCAATATCAATAAAATGTTGAAAGAACTCATTTTGCAGCAGAGAACGTTTGTTGCGTGCAGCAGCCTGTACAGTGTTCTCTCTAACAGCTAGAAAGCTGGCGTTTTCATTGTAAAATACTGTCTGCTGTGTGGTTTTATGTGAGTCCTCCATCTCGTCTATTGTCCCTAATGAATATGTACAGTAACGCAACATATCAGATGTGTTAAATGTTACACTCTTATTCTGATAATTCCTGAAATCAACAAATAGGTTGTCGTTTTACAATGATTTTAGGTATTACAATATCACACCCTCTTAAAATGTCATTCATGCTGTCAATTGTAATATTAGATTACTACATTTCCTCTTGGGATTATATTCGATACGTATACAAAGCTAATTTGAATTAGTACCATCCTCTGACGAAATGGAGGCCCCGCTGTCAGACAATACCAAATAATTGTATTTCACTTTCATCTAGGAAAAAGAGATTCGAAAAAGAACTCATGGGGATGTTATGGAAAGTAAACGAAAATGACGTCAAAATGCGGAAGGCCCGTCCTGGTAATGGCACAACTGCCCCCTCCAATGGTGAACCGGAAGTCCAGCACAAGAAAAAGCTCGTGCGAATGGTAAGATGTACAAACATGGCAGAATCATGATTCTGAGGTATTCGTGCCAGGATCTCATATTTAGAATCGGAAATTGCTTGGTCAACATATATTTACTTGGCAGGTGTCTTAAAAAATAGAAAAAAAAACTTCCAGAACATTTAGTTATATGATCCGTGTATTTGTTTCGTGAGAGATATCTTCTGTCGTTTTATGAAAAATCCGACTAAAAGTTTAGCACAATTAGATACTACACCGTTTCAAAGCGTGATGTTTTTGTGTGGCATAAATTTGCAGGAAACAAGAGGTACCCTGGGCTTCGGATCATCTTGCAGTTTGGACAAAAATCTTCTGTATGCACCAATAGGAAACTATAAGGTAAATAGCTGACTGTATTCCGATACCCTTATGTAAAAAGTGTTGAGATCACTGTCATAGTGAAGTGGCACAATACTTCAACTATACCGTGTTAGTATCTATTTAGAAATTACACAATATATCAATGTGTTAGGATCTCCATGCTAAGTCACACATCATCATCAACGTTCATTGTAAAATTAATAGATATATATTTGCATTGATGACATTCTGTATTGTTGTTTGCAATCTGAAGGGATCAGTGGTAGCGGTGAAAAACATACAACGTAGATCTATCAGGTTGAGTCGGGATGTGCTGCGCGATCTGAAAACTGTGAGTACAAGTATATCTTTTAGTTATAAACCCTTTATAGAAACTGATCTCAGTGATCGTTAAGACATATTCCTATAGACAGTAGGGGTTTATTTAGAGGTGCCATACAGTACTAGATATCCCTATATGTACTGGGTGTTTATAGACAGTGATGATTTATTGACAGGTAATAGTTTATTTTCTATATTTTCGAAAATTGATTCAAACCGCGAAAAAATATAAAAATAACAACCATCCATGTAATGACATCTGAATACAGATTAAAACAAACAACCGTGTATACACTGTATATATATGTACACTATTTACAGGTGAACGTTTACACTAGTAATATATATTACCAGATTACTATTAATAGCAATTGGCTTTTTTGACATGTTCAAGTGGTCATTATTGACAGGTTGATTTTATAGACAGGTTGTCTTTTAGCAATTGGCTTTTCTTTACACGTATTATTCTCACGATCAACACCGATGAACTCAACTACTGCCATTGGTATTGATATTGCGATGGCATTCAATTGAATCCTTGTGGAGACCTTAACATGTCTTTGACGCAAACTTTCGTTAATGCCCCACAGCTACGGGAGTTACAACACGACAACCTTAATGCTTTTGTTGGTGCTAGCCTCGAGGCACAGAACACCTATATACTTACACGGTATTGTTCCAAGGGCAGTCTCCAGGTAAGGAACAGCTGTGATATCATATAACATATATCGGTATCACACTCCGTGAATAACATTTTCATTGCTTGGCCTGTATTTTGCTCTACACTATTTTTTTTCATTGTAAATGAAAATCCTAGAACATTGTTTATATTAAACACTTCTACAATATATCTTCTGGACGTCGTTTATTTCAGACAATGTTTTTGTACATTGTCTTAAATTGCTAATTGAAATTATAGATTTGCACTGATATTCATTATATGTACCCTTAATTTTCAAGGACGTACTGGAAAACGATGATATAAAGGTCGACTGGATGTTCAAAATGTCTTTCTCTTTAGATTTAGCAAAGGTAAGGCAACGCTTCTTATACGATGTTACAACGATATAAAACACTACAGTCAATCATTGTTCTTCTCACTGAATTGATCTGTTACGGCGCGCTGTTCATTCAAATAGGTACAACGTATATACAACGGTTTCACAAAGGATTGAAAACTAATTTTAAAGAACATATCCCTTAAGTACGTCCAGTTTCCATGCTACTGATACAAACGTCTCTCCCAAATGTGGCAATTCTGCTAATTTGTGTTGTTGTATATACATGTAGGGTATGGAGTTCCTTCACAAGAGTCCACTAAGATCACATGGCAACCTAAAGTCGACCAATTGTGTGATTGACAGTCGGTGGGTACTAAAGATCACAGACTATGGCGCAATTACCAACCAGCCAGAGGAACCAGACCAGGAGGAGGGCGAATCAGAGTACTATAACAGTAAGCACCGCACCACAATTAATAGTTAAGTCTCTTTTAAACGGATGCATAGGCAGGTATACATTTGCAACAAAGATTCAGTTTTTCAAAGAAACATTCACCGAATGTTAATTGACCCGTCAGAACACAATAGATATATTTTTAAAAGCTTTGTTATCAATACTATTACAGAATTGCTGTGGACATCGCCAGAGTTGCTACGATTACAGAAGCGACCGCCAAAAGGCTCACAGAAAGGAGATGTGTTTAGCTATGGCATCATACTACAGGAGGTATTCCTGAGAGTGTCGCCATACTTCTACAATCGGGCTTCTAAGCCAAAAGGTAGCGTCGTATACGACATCACTTTAAAAGTGTATATATGTCTTTTATCGACATGCAAGTCTGGTTTTGTCCTCGTCCATTGCAATGTTTTAATACTGACTTTCAGGAAGTATTTTGTTAAGTAAAACTTTTTAAGTAAAAATGTTAAAATATCCATCAGAGGACTACCGTTTGTGAAAGTTCTGTTCATCGAACACCTCATTTCTTCTCAATATTAGAGTTAGATATATAATTTATTATTTCAGAAATTGTAAACAGGGTTCGTTATAATGAAACGCCTCCATATCGACCTAATATTCCCGATGACAGCAATCTGCCAGACAAAGCCGTAAGTCTGATGACGCTGTGTTGGCACGAACACCCGGAAAGTAGACCGGACTTCCAGCATGTCAGAAAGAGGCTCATAGATTTAAATGGGGGAAAGTATGTTTATGTAATACCTTTTTACTTTATCGTTTCGATAATGCTAAAGCGTCACTGTTTTGCTTAACTGTTCAGCATATAAGCATTTGTTCCATGTTGTCCTTGTATGCTGATACTGTGATATATAATGCAGGAAGATGAATATCATGGATAACATGATCCACTTGTTGGAGGCTTACAGCAATAATCTAGAGGAGCTGGTCACAAGCCGAACCGAGGAACTGGCCCTGGAAAAGCAGAAGACGGACAAACTTCTTTACAATATGCTTCCACCGTACGTTAAGTATAGCGTAATTCCACTTGGGGTGGTACTCCTTCGTTATATTTCACTAATCAAATCAATTAATTTCAAACAAGGAAGAAGTCCATGTACTTTTGGTATACGCTTAATTAGGTTTTTACGCTTTGTCAATTAAAATACTGTGCACATTCGATGTTTCAGAATGGTAGCCGAGCAACTGAAGAGGGGAGAGTCTGTCCGCCCGGAGACATTTGATGACGTGTCCATCTTTTTTTCCGATATTGTGGGCTTCACAACCATTGCAAGCAGCAGTGAACCGTTACAGGTGCGATCTACAGTAACACTTGAATACATATTGTCAAAAGATGTTGCTATCTGCAGTAACACTTGTATACATATTGTCTAAAGATGTTTTTTTTTACTTCAATGTAAATGCAGAGTGTGTCAACATGTTTTAGCTTGTAATTTTTTTTCAGGTTGTTGACCTTCTCAATGATCTTTATACTACGTTTGATGGTATCATTGCAATGCACGATGTTTATAAGGTAGGTTCCACAAAAGACATTTCAATATGCAAATATAGGTACTCTGAAAAAATGCAGTCGAATCTCCTTATCCCGAACTCTTCTAACTCGAAGACCCCGTTTAAGTATTTCGTCTGTCCCGGACAAATGTGATAAGACTAGTAGAAAATGTATAGTTTGACTAAAAGGATCCGCAGGGTAACAAATATTATTATATATCTTAATGTTTCCGCTTGCATTCGAATTCGGGACGTCCGGTTTGCTACTCTGACGCTCAACCGATCGAGTTAAAGAGAAGTTCCCCCAGTGGTAGGTTGCGGTGTTTTATCACGTTTCCAAACTTGCCATTTATTTAAAACATAAATAACCTCTAACTCTATTTGATTCAATAAAGGTAGAGACTATTGGGGACGCGTACATGTGTGTAAGCGGCCTTCCTAGAAAGAACGGAAGACGACACGCAGGAGAAATCGCCAACATGGCACTAGACCTACTTAGTGCGGTGACTAACTTCCAGATCCGACACATGCCAGAGGGAAAATTGCAGTTACGGATAGGATTGCACACCGGCGGGTGTGCTGCAGGGGTGGTGGGTTCCATTATGCCAAGATATTGCCTCTTTGGGGACACTGTAAACATGGCATCAAGGATGGAGTCAACAGGAAAAGGTAGGAATTTTTTAAGTAATAGCAATTGACAGACTATCACTTGACGCGATGATTGGTATCATTGCAACAACCTCGAAAGTTTGACTATATCTAACAAGATTTCAATGGTTAAGTATGAGTGTAAATGCAAAAGAGGAACACTGGGTGTCACTACGGGGGCTCGTGAAATCAGAACTTGTGTATCATTGTTGTGTCCTCTACGTGAAGATTGAAGATGTCGGATGTTTCATTCATTATCAATAACTACATGTGTTTGTGAGTGTATGTCGCACACAGTTTATATAAGATATATATCCTATAGTGGAGAGTGTATCAACATACCAGTGTATATCATACGTAAACGTCATCAAATCAAATATTAACTCTCATCCAAAAGTTCAGACACGGTTAACATATCCGCGTGCGTGGACGTCTTGTTGTAAATACATATATCATAGAGTTAACTACCAAACAATTTTATGTTCTCTTGTAGCTCTGCATATCCACATCAGTTCATCTATGAACAAGGTTCTGGAGGATTTGAAGTGGGGTTTCATCACCATAGAGAGAGGAATCATTGAGGTCAAGGTCAGTGAAAATGTCGATGCTCATTCATAAAACAGGAAAGGCGTCGTTTGATTTAATCAATACTCTAGAAGATTATTCAAAAGACACAAGAAAATTACACCTTCAAATATAAATTAAGAGTTAGATACTGCATCATACATCATCTAAGACTTGTCAGTGATGCCCAGGGCCTTAACTTTGAAGCCTAGGCGTCGACTGAGGAAAATCGAAAGTAATCGAAAGAAAAAACAACACCTGGACATTTTTTTTTAAATCGAGATTTTCAAAGTCAAGTACGTGTTTATAAAATTTCAAATTGGCAATTTATATTATACATTTATATAAAGAGATTGTAGGACAGACACAAGAGGAAAACACTTTTCTATGTAAATTTTAAGTTATATGTAGTATAGTCAAATAATGAAGAAATTGCATCATAAAGCTGTTTCTTCCTTCTACGGTATTTCAATGACGTTAAAGACCTAAATTTTTGAAAGCTTTCATGCGACTGATGAAAATCAGAATTGGTTGAAAGGAATGTAAAATGTCATATGGAGAGGTGCTCGCACAATTCAATAAATTTCATAAATTTCAATATTGCTTGATTTTAAAAGAATCTCAAATGAGTGTATACATTCTTCACTTCCACACTATTCAAATGAATTAAAAGATGGAATGAAGGTTATGGTAAACCTCTGAGATCAATGTTCACCAGCATTGTCTACCACCTTCAGTGTTGAGATACATTGTAATGTGGATGCGGTTATTGTCATTCAGGGTAAAGGCCTACAGAAGACATACTGGCTGATTGGGAAAAGGCGTTACAACAGACCGCTCCCACAGGAAATGTTAGAGTGAGTATGCTAGTGTTTTGATAATCATCAGTAAAATTTATCCTCTCTCTAAAGCAATACCAGACTTAATACACCAACAAGATTAGCTTTCTATTGAATGTTGTGAAAAGATCAATATCTTGTATGCCCTTTTCCGAACATGAAGTGTTTGACATGTTTTTATTCTGTTTCAAAGACTTACGCAACAAACAAATCATCTACGATGTATTAGGATTAGAATAGGTATAGTATAGTTCTATATTTCTTCTTTGTTCTGTAGTCTACAGACCAAATACCAGGATGCCTTGGCGACCGGGCGGGCAGTGTCTCCAACGGAGTCCCATATTTCAGCTGGGGAGCATAGTGATAGTATGTATGGACGAGCCTTTAGAAAGACATCCATAGCCATAAGCTTCCTGTCTTCGCTCAGTCATGACGCATTTTCAAACAGGTCGACATCGGAAGTAACAGTTGGAGACCTCGCGTTATCATGTGATAGTTTACGAGAACGCCGTCCAAGCAATGACACACTACTTTCAACAGATTCTACACTGTCTCCATCCTCGCCGGAAATGACGTTTAAAGGAGACGCCACAGCTCCGAAGTCTCCTGATTCATTATTTCCCGATAGTGCACAAGCACCAAGGACGAGAAAAATGACGTTTGATATACCGAAAATTGAAATTTCGTGAGATTTTGAAAATCAAAATCATTTATGCAACTTGACAATTTGTGGCAATCAAAAAGACTGTAAATATGTAAATAGTGGAAGTATAAACTTTATACAACGACCCTTGTCTTCCTGTGTACATAGAACATGACCAATTAACATTTGTCAGGTGTCTGAAAGATCATTTCAGTGACTACACTTGAATCACTTGATTACCATAAGCAAAGTCCCTACTATACCCATTTCAGTTAATGCAATCTATTTGTCCTTCGATAATTGGTCTTTCTTTTATGGCTGATTACTTGGCACGTCTTCCATTTGTCACTATCACTGTTTATATATGTAACTGTTGTTTCTGTGGCGAGATATAAACCATATGAATTCTACTTTGTTGCGATAGAATGAGTGTGTACTTTTTCTCTATTCTGGATAACCTTACATCGTTCGACTGCGTGAATCGTTAGTTGATGTATATTTAGAGATCTATGCAGTCTATTGCTGCTGTTGGGAATGTCTATATAGTACAAAATGTGAAACCACTCACATCGGAATCGGTTTCTCAGTTTTAAAATCAATGAAACAAATTACATATACATATTAGAACAGCACATACATTTCATCAATCAGTCAGTGAAATGTGTAACAATAACTCTAACCTAGCTTTCGCGACTCCTTATAAACATACATTATATACATTCATGTGCGAACCTTCATTCGACATTGATAATTTAAGTAAGTCAAACTTGACTCGTAAAATATTGTTTTAATTGCGCTGGTTAAACAATGTTCCACCTTGATACTTTGCACCAATCTAATTAATATCCCGTGTTTCTTGTTTTTGTTTTAACTTTGAAATACAATATATACATTGACGAGATAAGTCTAACCAATTAATCGTACTTTGAACAACTGGGCCGACGGAAGTGAGGAATGACATATTATAAGTGAAACGTGATATTGATTGAAAACACGTGAGCGAGAGTAGAACTGAAGATATTGCTAATGTCCAACAACTATTACATATAAATGAGAACGTCTTTCATTCATTATTTCCAATTTTCCTTACATTCCTTTATGGACATAAAGTGTTGGTGATATCGATAATAAAGTTTAAATCCTTACAACATCGTCCTCATTATTAATAAACACCTGTCATGCTGTTTAATTAGTACCCTTTCTTAAAACATCGTAAAAATTATATTGAAACGACAGAACTTGGTTATTAACAACATGAAGTGTAACAATGTTTCTTTTCCAACTCGTTTAACAACATATTTTGCACAGAAAAACTAAAACAAGATTTCTATAAATTTACAACAATAAGAATACCTGTAATTTTATTCATGATTATAATCCCCCGTTATCCTGGGCCACTTCATAAGACATCACAATGCTGAAAATTTTCGAGAAAAGATTTGCTATCGATGCATAGTTTTTTCTCAGAAAAGTAGCGTAAAGTTGAATGTGATTTTTATATACTAAACACCAAATTACAATTAATGATGACAAGACGAAAGTATACACATTGAAAATATGCATTTGTCTATCTTTTATCTAAAAAAAGAACATACGTCAATGGGAATGATAGGTAAACTGACAGATCTTTCTCCCCAATGTCTTATATGAATACTTATACGCTACAGAACAAATTCCTAGTCTATTTAATCTTCGTCGAGCTCAACAATACTGTAAATTGAACAGGATCATGTCACAAGCTTTATGCGTTTATTATGCAATCATTATTCCTCTCTGTATGATCCTTCATTATATATTGTAAAACCGAATAAATCCTTAATATGGCCACATTCCTTTAGTTGAAAAATGAAACGTATTCATAAAAGGAGGAAAAACGTTATCTCGTTTTATTGCAAAACCAAAACAAATCCAAACAAAAGAAAAAAAATAGAATTAGATACAGAAGAACATAATCATGAACTAAACTCTATCATGCTAATTTAACGTTCACAAAATTGATGTTGTAAGTTATTTTTAGAGAATCAGAGGATCCTTATGATGGCGTAATTGTAATACAAATTATTTAGCAAGTGTCAAAAATTATCAAAATATTAATATTGACTTCGTATAAGTTATTCATGGAGTTTATAGGCATACACTTACATCATCAATGAATGGTTTGGAATTTATTCTCTGGTTGTATCGTAATTACAGTGCTTATTTACAAACAAAGTAGATATGTCTGGAAGGGTTTGTATTGGTTGTTAATTATTCACAGTTTCCCTTTGTAGTATTAATTACTGAAGGCTTACTGACTGGATGTAAATGATTTATCTACTTTTATACACAAATTATCTAAAGAGACCGCAGTGAGTATATTACTTTTTAATGTTTACCAACTTGATGTGAATCAATGAACTACATATTTAAACGAAGCGAGTTATTTGGTTTATTTTCTGCCTAATTTACAATTTATCTAATTTGTGTACCTTTTAAAAAAAATTATTACATGGTTGAAAGTTATTTAGCTTTTTTTTACTAGATATTTTACTTAATCACAAATACCACTAAAATTACACCTATTACACATTTAAAAAAAACATTTGCACCAAAAGCCATACAAACATTAAAGTGTACCTAGATTACGGTATAGTATTAATTAATATTAATTATGTTTCCTTTCTTATTAAAAAAATCGGAAACCCGGTCAAAATTTGTCGCTTAGTTTTTGAGATATTTGTCGTTAAATTCACCGTTCGGAACCGGTTTGCACCTGTCGATGGAGGCTAATTAACACACTTCCCAACTTCCGGTTAACAGACCGGAAAATCCCGTGACGTCACAAGGGTAGCGCTTGGTCTAAGAAATGATAATGTCGGACAGTGATAACAGCGAGTGCGAGTGGTTCGAAGACTCAAACAATTCGGAAGAATGCAGCCTGAATTTAAGCTTTGAATCTTCTGATTACGACACGGAGGTTATAGAGAGACAAGCTGGTATTCAACCATACCAATTTGAACCCGAGGTAGATGGTGAAAGCAGTCCATCTTCACCTGCGTCGTCTACACGTAGCGATGATAATGCTGATCGCCTGGGATCCTTAGACTGGTATGTTCAGAGATGTTAGCTTTCACGTATGATTATTTTTTTTCCAGGAATTTTCCCTTTTCAAAATGCATCGTGCATGTTAACAAATGCGGATTTTCAGGATTTTTTCTCCACTTGCTCAACCTCACAAGTCCGACTTTGTCGAGATAATAACAGCCAATGCCTTTTTTTTGCATTTACAATTATTTGACTTTTACATAATACCCACCCCTAAATATTTTGTGTTACATAAATTAATGTGCATAGCATTTCTTTTTACAAAGGAGAACATTTCCTGGAAACAAAGTGTATTCTTTTGCTATGTCAAATGGTACTGGTATGTACTATAAAGTGTTGAATAGAAAACTTCTAACAAGACATTTTAAAGGTATTTTCACACCAACATACTAGTGAATTATGTATAAAACACAGAAAATTTTATATGTTACAGGTGTCTTTGCGGTAACTGCAGTCTTATGCCTACCATTGAGGAGTGCAGGTGCTGTAGTGAGATACACAGTGTACTGAACACAAAAGACGACATACCAGGGATACAGTGCATAACAGACCATCCTGGATTTGGGCCAGTCTGTTTGGATATTTATGTGCTGAGAACATCTTATTTCCAGTACAGACAACTTCATGGAGAGATACCAGAATGCCCTGAGTAAGTTATGATGTTTATCTACAGCATCAAATTTATTATTATAAAACTTGAAACATAATAAAATAATTCATTTGTTAAGAAGATATTTTAAAAATGATGTTACAAACTTGTCTATCAAGTTACAGGTCTAAAATACTGCAAAAGAACCAATAACCAGACAAGATAAAATAGATTTTCAATAATAAGTCAACATTTCTGAAAATCTGGTTTGGAATTGTTACACATATGTATTGTAGAGTTACTTGTGTTTACCATAATTCACTAGTGCTTGCATCCTCCGCAGATTAATGGCAAACTTGGCATTAACAATGATTACAGAATATATTGTTCTTGTTTTATCAGGAGATACCGCTATACAGCATACAGACAATTTGTGAGATGGTGTTGGGGGTACTTGGGAAAAAGCATAAGAGTGCCATTACCTGCGTGTGCTGTGAAGATTATTAGAGAAACATTTCCTGCACCAAATGGAAATTTTAAAGGTTTTAATTTTGTGCATTAAAAATATGTGTTGAAAACATTGAAAGAATGACATGAAACAATAAAATTATAATTGATATCTGATTGTTGTTTTTTATTCATATATACACTTGAAACTGTAATAGGATCTGTAAGTCTCGTCATGTGACCTACTAGAACATACCACTTAACTTGAACAATCATAACTATGAAAACGGAGGATTACCAGTAGGTACGTTTTTAAAAACTCCTTGGGAAATGTGCATTTTGTCGAAATTGAAAATACTTTTCTTCTATAAGACTACTACCTAAAACGTCAGTTGGTACACAGAAGTAAAGTAAAACAGACTTGCAGACCATATTAAAAAACAGATGAAAATTCATGTACATGTATGTATTTTAAATGTTCATGTTAAATCTTGATTCCATCAATGCGACAGCTTCCATTTTTACAGGTCTGACAAAATCACTACAGAGTGGTGGGGGTTGGTCTTTAAGTAGCATATCCTCCACTTGCATCGTACTTTTTTCTGCCACTTGTAGCACTTCTGCCATCAGTTCATGTACATAGTCTGTAAGATAAAAAGTACATATACAAGTACACTGGTTTTATTATTTTTTCCAATCACTATTACACAAAATCTGACACTATTGCTAGTAAAGACTTTAAATGTTTTGTATACATGGACATATTTTCCTGCAACTAAAATGCAAGTTGTTAATTGAAGAATCATGTACTGCAATATATAGAATACTGAACCTAACCTAAAATATTGAACTCGTCTTCATATGCAACATAATACTTACCAAATGTTTGTTTTGTTTTGACTTTTCTGACAGTGTATCCACCTTTC